TCAAATTGTTGTATAGAAATGTTTGTTAAATTAAGTGTTTTAATGTTATTTTTATTTGCTAACTTTCACATGTTTGCGCATATAAAGCAATGTTCAATTTCATGTGATCTCACGAGAAAGTTAGCCTATCGGCAGCGAAAACAATTGGCCTTATATTTATCTTAAAATAACGCATATGTGCATTATTTAGAAGATCAGGGTTAGTAAAAAATTAATTGTTATCTCGAAATAACGCCCATGCGCGTACTCTAAATAACGCACATATACTCAAAATAACGCGCAGATTGGCATTATTATGTGAAAATACGGTATGCTGATTAGAGGGGTTATTAGATGCTATATAATATAGTATTATTAGCCAATCAAAATTGTTTAATATGACTATATAAAATTTTTAATAATAATAATTAAAAATATAAAATTAATACTTATTGCCAGTGGTGTTCATCACCATATTTAAGTTTTTATTAAATTTAAAGTTAGGGTGCAATTTGAGACCAAGACAGAGATTAGATATAATAGCCTAAATATTAGATTATATGAGGTTTTTGGATGTTTTGAACATTTTTACTTAACTTACCTGACCCCTGTTTCTTAGTCCCATTTTTGAAATATAGCAATTTTGGTGATGATTACCAGTGGTGATAAATAGCAAATTCCTTAAAAATATAAAAATTATATTAGAGTAAAAGTAGATTTTGATTAATTGCAAAAAATTTTACACCATTTGATAGTGAATTTGTACAAAAGAACAACCAATTTAGTACAGATGAATATTTAATTTCATACAAGAAAATAATGATAACTTGTAATCTAATTTGAATCATCTTAATACTATTTGAATCATCTTATTGAGAGGATTCAATAGTATAAAAATTATTCAAATTAGATTACAAGGTATCATTATTTTCTTATACAAATTGAATATTTATCTGTACTAAATTGATTGTTCTTTTGTGCAAATTCACTGTTAAATAGTATATTATGTAAATCAATTATATATATTAAGTAAAGTTTGTTTTAAAGATCAAAATATATATATTTTGAAAATTTTACATAAATCAGATAATTTTTTATTAATTTATTTTTGTTTTTTATGTTTAATAAATAGAAATTTTAAAAAATTTAGGGTGTGGCGACTTAGTGTAGTTGATAAATTGTCACACTCCCAAGCAGCAGGACAAGAGTTCGAATCCTACCGGTGACGAAATTCGAATTTGTGGAAATACATTATGATAAAACTGTATAATATATCGATTGGGTCAGCACCTGTAACCTTGGTCTCACCAACTTGTATTAAGAGGTTGTGAAATATAGTGTAATATATGAGTTATACGAAATCTGAGTAAAGCAGCCAAATAAATCTAAGGGATCAGAGGATACAGAAGCCCGCTTGGAAAGTTTTAAATAAAGAGGTAGTACAGATCTTTGCCGATGCTACGTAAAGGATTATCATCTGGGAAACCAAATATCAAAGGCAAACTGAATGAGGATGGAGTATTTGGCAAGCACTATATCAACCTGGCCAGGAAAAAGGATTCATTCAGAATACTAGAAGACGCCCACTGGTCCCTCCCAGGCCATCTGGATTAGAAGTTTAGGGCACTGACGGTTGGCATCGAAGTACTGTTGATAGTCTGTAAAGTGGGTGCTAGGGTTTGAGTGAACTTTGCAAAGGCACAGAGTAGGTAATAGTAGCAGAGGTAAAAAGCCACAAGTACTTGGCTGCAGCCTATATGTAAGTTATCAAAAAATTTAGGTGATACATGTATAGGACATAGACCACTCTGGTAGATTTATCACAAGGATAAAGAACCCCCTATATGGTAGTGTATATCTGCTTTAAAGAGCAGCAAGACAGGCGGGCAGACCAAAGTGAAAAAAAATAAACACCCGGTTAACATACTCAGCCGCCTATTAGGCCTTAATATCATATATAAAAAATGATATATTTTTTGTTATCCTACTTGGTCTTAAAATCAGGCTAGAAAGTCTATATGATGGTGTAAATTTTCATATACCAGAAATGCTCTTTAACGCCTTCTACTCATTAAGATTGCTAATTTGTTTTTTTGCTTACCTGAAGTCTTCTTAACCTAAAAGAAAGTAATATGTTTTCTTATTTATCTAAAGCTTTATTAACTTTAAGAACGTAAATTTGTTTTCTTGCATATTTAAAGCCTTGTTAACTTTAAGAACAGCTAGATGTAAAAAAAAACAGGTTAGGTGTAAATTTTTCGGACAAGATGTAAATTTTTTATATATAAACCTGGTTAAAAAATTTTCACCTATTTTTTATTCCGAAAAAACAGGATAAAATTACAAGAAAGCAGTTGCTCTATCCTGAAGCCTATTAATATATTGGGTTACATAGTAACCACTAGCATGTTTTCTGCAAAGATCGGGTTCAGAGCTAGTCGGTTTGCTACAAACCTTTTTTTCTCATAAATTCGAAAAAAAAAAGAAACCTAATGAAATATGCTATCAGGTTAGGCTATTTCTGTCGATTGACAAATCAAGAGAGAAATAATTAATTATTTTTTGAACAAAAGTTTTCGTACTATTAATACAAACAGCTAAATTGTTTCACTTATTATCAAAAATGGTACTTCAATGCCCTCGATGTGGAAAGAACGACTTTAAAAAGACTCATGATTTAACAAATCATCTTAACAGAAAGTTTAAGTGTAAGCAACTCCAAATATCTAATCTGGTTCAGCCATCTAATCTTAATGTATCCAGATCTCAAACACCAGTACCCAGCTCCCTATCTCCTATAGTCCATGTTCGTGAAAAGGAAACTACTCATTTATCTATAGAGGATTTGGCCAACTGGCTAGCGAATCCTAAAATAAAAAACAACCCAACTATTATTAATAAAAAGGTTCCAAAAACAGATGCAGAATGGTTTGATTTAATGGAAAAGACTCCTAGTAGATCACAAAAGAAAACCCCAACTCCTGCAATCATTGACCAAAGGGATGAGTCTAAAGATAATCCAAAAGATATAGATAAAAAAGTGTTTTGGCCGGTCCTATTTCCAGACGATGAAATGCATCAAAAAGTATGGCAAAAGGGAATTCAGACAGCAAAAGATATGTTTAAAGTAGATGGTGCTGAATATACATTTTCAACCTGGTTTGCAATAGAGAAAGAGGAAATGTATGAAGCTGGAATGACTAAAGAGCGTGTCAAGAAAATTTTAAATGCAATAGATGATGATAGGTTTCTTATAAGGGTAAAATTTATTCGGCCAAATAATGATAATTTCAAAATTATTGACAAATATGAGCCTATACGTGAGTCAAAAAAGGCTGATAAGAAATTCGTTCCAGGAGGTCCAAATGTTATTCTTACAAAAAAGATGAAACCAGGCTTTTGGGTTGGAATTGATAGAAAGTTTTTAGTTAGAGAAATTCAAATTAAAAGCTCTGATTTTAAAGAACTTACTGCTAATGCAGTCGTCTATAGGCTATATAGAATCTGAGAGCCAGATAGTAATCGATTAATGCCAATGAAAGATGATGCACTTAATTGTGTGGCCCAACGAGTAATAGAGCATTTTGAAAAAGCAAAAAGAGGATATGGGCTTACAAATATACGTAAACAAAAAATTAGCACTTGGGAAAAAAGAATGCGTCAACCTGGTGCTCGGGTAGAGGATGTAGTAGAATTAGAAAGAATACTTAAGAGGCCAATCAAATTGCTTGATATTACTCACAGGACCATTTTTAATAGTGGAAAATATCGAACAGGTAGGTTTGAAGAGATTGAGATAGTAGTTCACAATGGCCATGCATTTCCCAGAAACCAACACTTTCCAAAAGACTGAATGGTTGAATATTATAATGATAATACATGGAATGCTATTAATAAAGCTCTTTAAGGACCACAAGCAATATGGCTTATTGGACTTGAATTTGGAGAAGACGAAACGTTGGAAGAGATCCAATCAATATCCCAATTTGTCCTAGAAGATGGTCGTATATTTAGAACATGGATGAAGCATACAGATATTATAAAAGCATATAAAGAATTATTTGAGGATGCGGTAGACTGGCAATTTCAAGAAGGAATAATTAGTGAAGAAAAAAAGCAGGAATCCCTAGAATCACTAAAAATAGTTGAGTTAGCAGAGCAAGTATTCGAAGCAAACCATGCCGGAAGCAAACTTGCCAATGAAATTAATGATTGGCATCCAACTCCGGTCAGTGTACATGAAAATATAAAGCAATCTTGTGTTGAACACGGACATGAAGGACGCTGGAATGCGTCTAATTATCAAATCAGAGATGTTGTATGTATAGACATAAAGTAATGTTATCCAGAAAGCATGCGTGGTCAAGGAGATTGTTCATCATGGTTCAAGCGATTTGGTCATCCAACGCATCATCTTGTTCGAGTAGCAGTAAATGGAGAATTGCCACAAGATGATATCACCAGATTTGCACAGATAAGATCCTTTAAATTTGTTCCTAATATTCATTCAGCAATTCCTGTTTGGTATAGAAAACACTTTGCTTGCCGAAGTGGAGAAGGATGTGGGAAGGCAAAAGGCTGGACACCTATTGTACTTCTACGATATCTTCTCGAAGCAGGTATCTTAGAAAGCATAACTATAGGAGAAGGTATTATTTCTCTTACCAAGCAAACAAAGGTATGGTTGCCTAAAAATCAGGATATAAGTTGCGCAATCATAGGAAAATTCACACAGGGAAATAAAGTTGAGGAAAAACGTCTTACTCATCGAGTTGTAATAGACGAAGGTGAGCTCGATTTCTTAATCCAGGATTGTATTAAAGAGGGAACATATGCAGGTAGTGATAAATGTCCGCTTGGACATATACTTATATACTACGAAGGCCATCAGCCTCAATATACACATTTACGAGCCTCAATGTTAGCTTACGCCCATATAAACTTACTGGAAATGCTTCGAAGATTTGGCCCTAATGAAGTAGTAAGAATCGCAACAGATTCTATATATATACAAAGAGAGGCCTTATATAAGATCGAAAATGTATCTGCCTTCTTTAAGCAAGTTAAGCAAAAGATTAGCTATCCCAAAGATTCGGTAAATACTAGTAAATTTCTATGTCTACATGACTGGCATTCATGTGCAGTGTGTAATAACCCATTGTTTATAGAATTGGTTAAAGTATTCCAAAAAACTAAAATGCTTTTAGCGGTAGGAGAATATTTTCCATGTAGCAAACATAAACCATTTGTTTGTTATGATTGCTTTTGGGATTGGTATGTTCATAAAGGTTTTTGGGAAGTTATCACTGATAAGAAGCCATCTAGCAATACTAGTATAGCCATTACTAAAATATCTGAACCTCTAAAAGAAAAGATTCTTTCAGAACCGATTAGAGAAATACAGCCTGGACAATGGCGTGATAAAGGAGAAAAAATTTATGGTCCAGATCCTAATGTTGTATACTGGCCAAAAAATAGGCATTGGGAATCGATTAAAAATATTACCAAAAGTACTGCTCCATCAATTCATGATCCTATTACAAGATCCCGAGTTTCTTATCTCAATGGAGGTGGTGGTTCTGAAAAGACAACGCGTGCAATTCGAATCATCAAAGATATAAACATGGTTGTTTTCACCCATACAAATGTGCTAGCTAAAGATTTTCAAAATGACCGTAAAGTAAAAGCCCAAACTTGGCATAGCTTCTTTAGATAGAATGGTGTGGGAGAATAGACACCTGAATGTATGGGAGAAAAGAAATTTTCACGAGTTGTCATCTGGGACGAGGTATGCACAGTGCCTAGGCATATTCTTGAAATGTTTATTGACTACTTACTAGAGCAAAAATGTTAGGTAATCTGTTGCGGAGATGATGCTCAGCCTCCACCATTCTTTGGAGAAATGCCTCATGACTGGTTAAAAGAATGAACTGAATACTATGAGGAAGTCTTGACTAACTATCGGGCCAAATGCCCTAGATTACAAGAGCTTAAGAAAAAAATGCGATGCCAAAATAACAGAGTGCAGTCAGACTTATTCCGTGAAGCACTTCCAGTTGCAGAAAAATGAGAATATCTTGAAGCTGAATGGAAGCCATCAGATCGTATCTTATCAGCACATATACTTTCTCGAAGAATTGCTTCCCATAAATGCTTAGAACTTCATCGAAAAAAATATTCCAATGTACTGATCCCGTTAATTTATAGACCAAGAGATGGACACAAACAAAATTGCCTTGTCCAAATTCCCGGCTTATCTGAAAAGAAGGAGTTAGTAAAAAATGATATAGAATATTTGCCCTTAAATACACTCTCTGACAAGTTCTTAAAAGATATATTAGCAGATAAAAAAGTCATAGATTGGGAACTCGGATACGCAATGACCATTCATACTAGTTAAGGAATGACTTTTAAGTCGCCACAACGTGTTTGGGTCATTGATGAAAACCTAGCCTGGGATAATCTAATATATTTGGCAGTTGGTCGTGTAGAATATTTAAGCTAACTCATTCGGGTTGAAGCATCTCCATTACCTTCTGAAATTGCCCAAGAGATTGAGGAGGCAAAAAAGAAAAAACAGCTAGAACACGAATTGAGGCCGTCTATTCAGGAAAAACTTATCGGATATATGGGCTAGGATAAAGAAAAAGGCCGTGAATTTGATCTAACAGTCGACTATATCCTTACATTAAAACATATTCAAGAAGACAAATACGCATCATGTCTTATCAAAATGAAATTCGAATAGAATCAGCCAGGAGATATACTTCAGTGGACAGTAGATCGAATTTACAATAGTTTGGGGCATATTAAAGGGAATGTACGCCTTACTTGTCTTCTTTGTAACTGAAATCATAGAGTCTAGATCATGGTGGTGATCCAGATGCATATATAGTTAATATGTTTTTTTTTTTTTTTTTAAAAATAAAAAAAACATTCGCAATGTTAATATCAAATTGGATCAAAAATAGAAACTACATACTTATTAAACAAAAAATCTTAGTTAATAAAATTCACACGTTTGAGAATACACAATATGCATATATATAACCCACTTACACTTCCAGATACTATTGCTGAAATCGTCTCAAAACTTCCATTAGGGGATCTAGATAACTGTATTCAAATTAACCGCACATAGTATAAAGAAATTTGTTGTAAACTTTATAAGAGGTGCAAAAACTTTAATACAAAATACTATGATTTATTGGGGAAACTAGACAGATGCCACAGAAAATCGGATATAAATGATAATGAAATTGAGCCCATATATAATAATGCATTAATAACATTTGATGAGCTCGTAAAAGTAGAAAGGTATTTATTAAATAAAAATATGATCTTCAGTAAAAGAATTAGAAATGTGATATTGACCAATATTGAAGAAGATAATTATGGAAACCCATTAGATTCATATAATTTTGGGGAAGATACATTTGAATATATAAAATATCTCGAAACATTGTAAGGTTTCATTCACCATATTAATTATTTTTTCGATACCCTTAAGCTAGATTTTTTATTCACAATTGTCAGTGAAGATCGATCAGTTCTTGGTCTATGTTAAGTAATTCGTGAATGAACAGATCGCCAAACCCGAAATTAGTTTTTTTTTAAATCTGCAAATTAGGTTTGTTAGTCGTAAAGAATAAACTATATAAATAAGCTAAGTATAAAGAGTTTTGTTATGAAAAACTTATCTGGTTAAAATTCGGGTAATGGTATTGATTTGAATATTATATCTGTTTACTTTTATCTATCAAATAACCCTGGGCAGTAAAAAAATAAAATATAAGGCCATACAAACTTAATAAATCGGTTCTCATAACATAAAATTTTTAAAAGTGACCCGGCAACCCGGTTTTTTATTTTATTTTCAAAAAATTTTATATATAAAAAACATAAAATTTTTTATAGATTTTTTTAATAAACTCACCCGGATAGTAAGTATACTTGAAATTTTTTTTTAGAGTTTTGTAAATTTTGACCCGGCCGGGTTATGAGAACCGATTTATTAAGTTTGTATGGCCTAATCAGGTAAATGTGTAAAATTTTCATTATTAGCATTATAAAACACGCATTATTTGGTTGAAATATAGCAATAAACAAAAACTTGCAAGTATAAATATTACATGCCTTAAAACCCTCGCATTGAATATTCTTAAAAACGGATCTCCTGAAACTATTGCAAGTGGTGTTGAAGTTCCTGAACTAGATTCGTGTTCTATATGCAATGAAGAAATTTTTTTGCACATACTTAAAAAGTCATTCACTGTATTAACGTGTGGTCATACTGTGCACCGTCTTTGTCTTGAGAACCTTAGAGAAACTATGTTTACATGTCCTGTCAATAATTGTAGTGCGGAAATCGAAATCATTGAAAAGTCACCACTAATGTGGGCTCCATTACAAAGAAGTATGAGCATAGATGAAGGATCACAAGATCTGTTAATATTTGGTAAAAATTCTTTAGTGAATCTAGATACAATCGTAGAAGAGAACTCCGAAAATAATTCACAAAACAAAGAACCTGGCATACCTGACTTCACTACAAGTAATTTACCATCTAAACGTGTTGGTGAAGCTACCTCTGCTAAATCGTCAAATAAAAAAAAGAAATCTGCAAATAGAGAAGATTCTCCTGTATTGAAAAGACTTATTCAGGAACTGTCAACTAATGATCCCAGAAAAACAGTAACTTCGCAATTTGAATCTACTTCTGAAACAAATACCGACTCAGTTAATTTTCTTGATCTATATAATAAAATTATAACTTCTGAAGATATTAATGAAAAAACGTCTCAAGATGTTATTCTTAGCTATTTTCATTTTGGAAAAGCATTGGAGGATCGTTTCAATCACTACAGAAAAACCAATCCCAAACGTACAGCTCAAGGGTTAGTTAATAATGAGGTTAGAACTCAGCTTCCCGAAATAGTTAGTGAAAGCTTACTTCGAAAGACAAAAGAAAGAGCTCAGAAAATTTACGATATTTTTAATGAAATAGGTATAGATAAGATTCAACGAATTCGGTCTTTTACAGCTACAACAATAGCAAATATATCTCAGGATGATATTGATTTTGTATTGGCAAAACTTTCGATAAATAATCCATCATGTAGTCACGTGACGTTGTGACAAGCTGTCACAATCTATGTAATAAAATTTAATCGTGTTAGCATTTATGTATAAATGCGCCTAATTTTAATAAAGTATTTTGGTTTGTCCGCCGGGCTTCCTGCTTATGCATAATTTATTTGAGACGGGGCATAGGCACATGGTGCCACACATTACAGGTTTGTATTGTATAAAAAAAATAGCCACGTATATATTATTTTTCTGCTAATGTATAACAATGAAAAATCATAATAATATACATATACAAATAAAAATTATATCGAAAAGTGGCGGAGGAAATATTTAAGCGATGTGAATGTAATAACGATAATTCTCGAATAATTAACCTTTAGTAAAAATAAATCAGAATCGATACATAATTTTTCCATAATTCGCCCACGTAATAGAGAGATTTATTTTAACACGTGTTTATTAGAATTATTCCGCATACCGTATAAATTTTTTTTCTATTTTCGAATTTATGAGAAAATAGGGGCTTATCGTTATGCATAACTAATTTGTGAGACGGGCACAAGTAGAAACTGCCAATTTATCAGAATTAGTCTCTAACCGAAGTCGGTCAATTAACTCATGCCACATATGTTCTGAATTTATTTTAGGCCTAAATACGCACAATGTATGCATGTACTATGGGAGTATCAAGTCCCTTTAACCTTACATGGCTCTATAACTCATGATACATACACTTACATAATTTATAGAATTCTTTTGCATTATCGATAGAAATTTTTTGCTGTAAGAGCGCATGTTTTTACTTCCGCCTAACCTTTCTAACATTTCGAGTTTTGGGGAAGAGATAAGAAAAATATATAAAAGGGCAGTATCTAGAATTTATTGTTATTTGTCGCTTATTAGTGATTCGGTTTTTATTATATTAACAAGCCTGTTACTTTTTCATCTCAAATTAACTACGCAACATGACTTCATTGTATGATTTTATTTGTGGTTTTCTTCGCATCGCATTACCGGAGCATATAACTGCGTATTCGGCAGATATTATTGTTCCCATTATTCGAGCCACATTAAAAAATTTGCCAATTGGGAAATCTGCATACATTAGCACGTAAGTAAACTTTTTATTTTTTTCTAAGAACGGTTTTTTATTAATTTTTTATTTATTGCAGAGCGGAACGGCAAAGTTTGGCTAGCAAGGACAGAAGGGGAGAGAGAGGAAAGCGTCCAGACATTATGTTCATAGCGAAACATATGGATAGAATCTATGAACTAGTGTTTAGTGAATGTTCACGTATTGTTTGTAACGACACCAAAGAAGGTGATGATAGAGTAAAATTGTGGCGAGAGCTTAATGATGGCTTATATTGGACGAATAGAGGATGTAAATTAGAAGAAAAAAATGAGTTCGGCATTCTCGGATTTCAGGTTGCGGGACAGAAATTCGATCTATACGTCCTTATTCGTGATGATGATAATATAAGCCGTCTTTTTCTCTTAAGATCGGTGATCATTCCGATACAATGTACAAATGATAGAAAAATTATATTTGACTTTATAGAAGCTTTATTGTTGCTACGAGTATGTATTTATTTATTTATATTCTACGTCACATTATTCTGAAAATAATTATCTAAGACTTTTTAAACTACAGAGAATTTTGATTGTTGACCTGTCTTTGCTATTTAATTCTGGAATTAATGATAGTGATGAAGATAGTTCAACAGTTTTTACTCCGTAAATGAGTAGAAATGTAATTTGTTTTTATTTTTTTTTCTGTATTTTGTTTTTATTTTTTATATCAATAAAGCTAGCCCTGGTGGCTGATTTCGCATACATAATCAGTTTACTTTGCACGTGTATTTCATGAATTTATTTTATTGTATTATTATCGATGTACATTACTCGCATATGATCGTGAATTTTTAAAATTTTTCTTGGCAAACTTCCTGAACCGAGTTCAGGAAAAACACGTGATCATATTTTTAACCGATTTTGAATATTTATATACAGTACATAAAAATTATTATCGAATATGCAGTCCGAGGATATCAGTTCACTTAAAGAAGAAAATGCCAGACTTATGGCTAAGATTATTGGGCTTGAGGCAAGGAATGCCAAGCTTGAGGATGAGAATATGAAGCTGAGGACCGAATTCAGAAGTAGAATCGAAGAGTTGGAGGAGAGTAGGTCAGATATTGCTGGCGAGAATGCTAGACGTGATGATGCAATTGCAGAGCTTAAGGCTGAAGTATTGAAATTAAGGGATGACAATGAGGAGAACAAACAAACCCAAGATATCTCTTCCGAGGAAGTTAACAATGTACCTAACCTCTTTGTAGATCATCCTAGTAACGCCAGCCCTTCATCTTGTGAAGAAGATAGAAAGACTGATGAATTCTTAGACTCAGTGCAGAAGAAAAGTGTTAGTGATGGGATAAGGTTGAGAAAGCGGGAGGAAAAGCTTCAAAAACAAGACTTAACTTCAGATGATAAAAGATCTCTACAGAAGAAAAATCAGAGGGAAAAATTTATTCAGGAAGTGTCTTCAGACCTGATACAGAGTGATACTGACCTAGCCAAGCAACAACTGGTTACACTATCTTTAACTTCAAGCCCATGCAAGCAGGCAGATTCCTCAAGCTTTGCGCATTTATACGAAAAACTTCGCGATGCTGAGGACTTTGCTGATCGTGCAGTCCAAGAAGCTATTATATGTTACTGTCAATTTGGGAAAGCTCTTATTCAGAGACGAGGTGAGATAGCATCTGAGAGACAAGTTGATCCGGAATCCAATGCTGTCAGTAGAGTTTTAAATATGGAAGTTAGGGCTCAGCTTCCTGCAGATACTTCTGATGCACTTTTATGGAAAAGAATCGAGCAGGCCAAGAAACTATGGAAGCTCTTTGACGCAATAGGTATGGATAAAATTTATCGAATTCATTCCTTTTCTGTTAGCAGTATCTCAAAAATGACGAATAAGGAGATTCAGTATATTATAGATAATATGCCAGTCGACTACAGCATTAAGATAGAAACGTCCGCCTATGCTCTGCCGAAAGATGGTTTACCAAGTAATGAAAAAAATTCCGAATTGTCACTTCCTGATCTCAGTTCAGGAAGTGATAAGAAAAATTCTGAGTTGTCACATATTAATACTTCTAACGCATCAGAGGAACAAACATCTTCAAAATCTGGAGTAAATATTATACCTGCATCTCGACCAATTCCTAAGACGAATCCAACTCATGAACGCACCTATTTTCAAAACAAGACATTGGATCAATATCAAAATTTATATAGAGAATTTAGTAGTGAAAATTTCGATTATTATGGAATTACTAGCGAGAAAATATGCCCATTATGCGAGTTAGAGCATAATGAAGAAGAAAGTATAGAAGGGAGATATACATCAGGAGCTTATTTTATTAAATGTGAACAGCGCGAAATTGAGATAGTTGCATAATCTGGTCACTTTGGACAGAGGCGCTTCGCATAACCATATATTTGCTCACGCTTCATTGTGTTATTTTTTTACAGGGCTAATTTACATCGACTATGCTTACTATAATTAAAATTGATTTGCAATCATATAAAAAGACAATATGACCAAGTCTGATAAAGTATTAACCCCCGAATATCTGGATTGGTATGCCAAATTAAGTGGGTTACCAAGCGTTTTGACAGGTAAGATTCGGTCCAACTTATATAAAAAATATAAAAAAGAAACTGGGCATGAGCCATGGCAATTACCAAAAGCTGTGATAAGTACGCCACCAAAGCCTAAGACCTCTGATTTCAAGCCCACCACTTATGAAGCCAAACCTGATCCAGAATTAATTATCAAATCCGTGTTAGAGCATTTCACATACTTGAAATTCCGAAATAGTTTTAGAGGAATTGATAATTATAGTTTTGCATCACCTCAGCCGTGGAGCTCACCATGTCCTATTTGCAATGGAAGACATGGGAATTATGGATTACATGGCGAATGGTACCGCGAAAATGGGAGTCAGCTCCCTTATGATCCCGAATTAGCGAAGTTGTATTCCCAAGATAAGTTGGAATATTGTCTTACCTGCAACACTTCAAGTAATAAACTCAAGTTCGTGATCGTAGCATAGATTAATAAAGTTTTTAATATATTAAAAAGTTAACTCAATAGTCTCCACTAATTGCAAACCACATTGTAAAAAAAATTGCGTAAAAATAAAAAATGGCGAGGTCACCGGACCCCCCTTCTTTATTTCATAAAAAAAGTTGCCAAATGGCTTACAAATAAGAAAAATAAAATATATATGTTTTGAGAGGATGAATTAATTATACATTTGATCTAACATTTCTTCGGCCTCACCGGGATTCATATCGTCCCAGTCATCATTCCTTATACGTCTTTCTATAGATTCTTCTGAAAGTGGTGTCCAGAAATCACCTCTCTCTTTATAATACTCATCGTCTTGTAAGATACCATAGGTCGAATTATCTGATTAAATAAAATTTTACTTCATAAGCATTTTTTTCTTATAAATTCGAAAAAAAAATCTAACAGAATATATTATCACCCCGCAGATCGGAACGAGTGGTGGAATTTTACTTACCATTTCTGTTTCTCCTATTATTACGTGAATTAGGTGTCCTTTGGCTAGGTCTTGGATTGGGTGGTGTTGGGGGGACATAATAGGTCTCGGAGGGGTTATTGTCATTAGTCGTGGAAGTGGTGGTGTCATTGGTTATGGCGGTGGTGGTATCATTGGTCCTGGGGTCTTATTTTTCTTGTTCTTGGGGGTGGTGTTATCGTTAGTGCTCATTTTCGTTCCTAAATACAAAGAATCATATTAAGTAAAAATTCGGTTTCATAGTCTCCGTTAAATGAAATCATATCAGCTAATTACTTTAAAAAAAAATTCGGCAGAATTGAGTAAAAAATATATACGAGCAAAAAATAACGTTATTGCTAACTTATCTTATGGGCGGGGACTTGCTTATTTTTATACCGTCCATTCGCTAGATCCCTTTTTTCTCCTATTCATTCGAAAAAAGATAATCTATTAGAATATATTATTAACTCTAGTTAATAGATTTCTGGGTTAGACTTACTTATCACTCCGAAAAAATTTATTTTTGAGGAGGTAAACTTGCTAGAAAAAAATATATGATTAGTAATTACGTTACCCAAATCCAACACCAGTGTTTTCTCCATAAAGCAAGTTCATTCGGCCATAAGCTCCATATACTGAATGTTTTTTTAGGTGAAATCAAACCCCCTTAGATTCGACGATCGTTTAAAGTGGGTTTAGATCTGACGATCTCGGGAGATGGCGGAGATTCGAAGTCCCTGAAACATATGAATTTGGATAAAACTACTGATAAAGAACGTTATACTCATTGCCCTTATAGCCTTTTTAAGTCCCATTCTTATCGCGGGATCGTATAAAGTAAGGAAAAGGGTCTGGACATTATTCGTAATATTCGTTAATAAAAAAAATCGACCGTGGGAATTAATTCTGCAGGAGAGTGACACGAGCCATACCTAATTTCTTGTAATACCGTTCACTTTTTAAAATAAAAAATTTTTTACATATGTACAGTACAATATCATTAAAAGGTCATTTATTATCGTGACCCAAATATCTCGTGAACCCGTGGGGCCGTTAAGTCATGTGATAAATATACTTAATTTTTTTTCAGCACGATCGGTGCCTTATGATTTAACGGCCAAGAAGTTAGTGGATGGTAGATTAGGGTGTCAAATGCATATCTAATTACAAACATAGCGCAGGTGCATAGTGAAAATCATGTATCGAATTTTTTTATAATTAAAATTTTTAAGATCTGCACGCAATAGTAAAAACCATAGAGAAGTTGCCATCTTTCGCCTTTAATTCCTTCTGTAATATTTATCCTTTTTTAATTTTATAAGCACAAAATATTTAATTAAAGGTATCTCTACACAGTGACAACGTCAGAATTTTGGAGTTTCTAATTAATTAGACTCTTTTTCATGGGTACGACATACGAAAAATTGTTATAATTTTAGTCATATGATAGATTTTTATGCATATCTAATCTATACCGATACATATCTTTAACTAAATCTGCTTTATCTAATAGAGAGCAATTAAATTGCTATATAGCTTCGATCGAATAAACATTGTTAAATATAATGAAGTATATTAAAAAAAAGGTATTTACTGATTTTATTAATACTCGTTTAATATTTTATAATTTAAACTAAAGATCTATCTATTCTTGTGTAGTAGAGCTTATTAGACTTGTGGTTTTTTGTTATGTTGCCAGGTAAGAAAACTACCAAGAATTTCATATACTTTTTCTTCCTTAGAAATCTCGTTACTTTCTAATTGTTTAGTAACTTTAAAGCTACTAGTGACTTGCCGAATGTTTCGCAGCATGTCTTGAGAGATCTCTTGAAGTCCACCATCCAAACCTGAAAGTTGAATTCGGGATTCTTGTAGTTGAGCATTCATATTTGGGTGGACTTTCATGTCATAACGATTGAACAATCCTTCCAATTGTTGCTGATGGACCACAATGCTCCATATCCGAAATTTAATGAACTCATAGATAAGGGGGTACTTTGCCGGTTCTGATATATCAGAATCAGCAAATTTTTCAAATTCTTCAAAAAAGTCATGATGTGCTAATGCTTCTAATAACCCGAATGTATTTGATTGTTTATTTAATAAGTTCTCTCTTAAAAGTTTAATATAAGAAATCTCTTTTAAAGTTGAAACTCTTGAAAAACTTTTATTAAAAAATACAGTTAGAAAAGCGCGAGCAAATTCGGGTCCGTTTACACCACCTAATTGGCAAACGCAGAGAGGTAAATGAATCCAGGTTTCCATCCATTTAGTAAATCCGTTTAATGCACTTTCTATGCCAGCACATAATAACACACGAAAATTTTCAAAGTCTTCAGCATTCAACTCACGTTCAGCGTCATTTAATTCATCGCCAAATAATTGATGAATGTTTTCTAGACAACACTGAAGCTTTTGAATCCATAGCATTATTTTATCTGGCATTTCATGTGCACGATTACCTGGAGGAAGAGTATCAACATTATTCGGGTGGTGAATTTGTGGAATTGGATCATATCCGGTCAGAAAATTATAAACAGGCTCATAAAATTCCTGGCCAAATTTAAC